TGTTTGCTGGGATTCCCAAAGGATCCTTGTCTCTCTCTGTGGCGGCTTTGGAAATCTCAGGTGAAGGGTGCTTGTGGCTCTGACAATGCCGGTGAAAGGCAGCTTTTGCACTTTGCCGGTGGTGCTCTCAGTTTGAGGTGGATCTGTACCAACACGAGTCAGCCTGCCAGACTCCCCTGGACCGGCAGTACCACGAGGAGATCCTGAAACTGGAGAAGGCTGGCGGTCGGAAGAACTATCGCATCTTCACCTACACTGACCACGACCGATTCACCAACCTAGAGGAGGTACCAGCTCTTAGGGACACACTATACGGCACTGTCTGTCAAAACCACCAGGCCTGCTGCAGAGGGAACACTGGGCCATGCAGAAGCAAGCCAGATACCCTGTACGTGGGAAATGCTGCTTCTGCAAAGCAGCTTCGCCTGGTGCCCCAGACCTGGGATGAGCTCGCCCTGTTTCAGAACAGTGGCCAGGGACAGCTCAGAGGGACTTGGCTGTGTAGCATTGCTCTGTAGGTAACTTGTTGGGTGGAGTTTAGCTGTACTTTGCCACAAGAACAGGGAATGAACTCTACAGTCTTGTAGCAGTTTGTCCTTGCATGTGGGTGCATACATACCTGCTCTCTCCTCTAAGAGCGGAGCTGTGATTGGGAAAGTTGTCCTGTTGTAATTAAGCTAGTTCCTGTCTGTTTCTCTCTTCCAGCACTGCCAGAAGGTAACTGACTCAGATCATGAGGTGCCATCATATCTGGCAGAGAGGATGGCCAATGTGAGGAGGAGAAGACAAGACCGTAGGCCAATGTGAGTGCAGACTGGGGCTCGGAGCTTGCTAATGCAGGTTTCCTGGTGCTGGTGCCCCAGCTGCGGAGGAGCCCGGTCCGTGGAATTTGGTGGCTTGAGCTGTGCTGCACTTGGAATTGGGCGGTTTGACTTCTCACCGAGGGGTTTTGGTGCTGCCTGTGCTGGGCTGCCAAGGTGAGCTGTGACTTGTGCTGTTCTGTTGTTGACAGAGAAGCAAGTTCTCTGAAGTTGAAAATCATCACCTGGGAACCCTCAGAAGAATTTATAAAGAACAACCATGTGATTAACACTCCTGTCCAGACCATGTACATCATGGGGGACTTGGGACCTTATGGGAAGTAAGTAAAATCGCAAAGTGATCTTAATTTCTCACAAGGAAGCCCATCTTCCCTCCTTACTCAAATCTCCTGTTTCTTTCATTAGCTGAGAGAATTCCAACAGCTCAGTAACTCGGGCTGCTAATTTTTTCTGCCTCTTTTCTCAGTTGGGAGGTAACTGAATGTATCCCTCCAAAAGGCTTCTTAAACTAATGTAGGGAAGTGTGGGTGTGCTTGTTCCCTTCTGTACCCCCATGTGCCTTTACCAGCGAGAGGGGGTCCACATTCTCTATTTAGACTCTGTTTCTTGATGTCTTCCATTAGGCTTGGTCACCGGGAGTATGAACATGTTCTTTGCACAATCAAGGTGGATGGCAACGGGGTGATCACAGTGAAGCCTGACTTTAATGGCACCAAAGGAGCCTACCGGTGAGTGGGACAGGGCTGCTACCTCTCCTGACTGATACAGAGGGCTGAAAAGGCTGTTTCCTGGTTGCCCCTCAAGCAGTGGATCAGCACTTAAATTGAAGGGTATTTTTTAGTTTTATTCCAGAGATTTCTAAGACAAGATTATTGTGTACTTGTGCTCAATGTCACAGCAGCGTGGTGTGTGGGGCTTCGGTGTCAGCCTGGATACAGGTTATGCATTTGCTGGATGCAAGCGAGTCTCCCTTTTTGAGTCACTGATGCTGGCAGGCGCCTGGGGAATGAGGAATGGGTGTTAGTGCTCTTGTGCTACTGCCCAGGCCTGGTGAGGGGGGGCTGCTGTGTCAGGATGGCTCGGTTGCTGCCTGTGCCTGTTCTCTGCCTAACAGGGGAGTTTTGCCCATGTGTTGTGGGGCTCTGCAGGATCGAGCTGGATGGAGAGAAGCGAGAGGTGTGGAAATACACCATTGAGAATGCGTCTGTCCAAGTGCAGCCGGAGGAGGAGGAACGCGAGCAGCACGTGTTCAGAGATGTAAGGACCACCCTCCACTGATCGTATTGACTAGTTCTGATTTGACAGAGGGAGCTCAGACCCTTGTGTAGATGTAACTGTTAGTGCTGTAGGCTCCTGAAGTTGACAAAACAGTTGTCGCTGGCAGTGAGTCTCATCATGCCCAGCAATTTGAGAAAAACAAATACTCCCTGACTGCTTCCTCCTTGCTCTAGGCAGGGGCCTTGCCTGGTATGAGGTGTGGTGGCCTCTGACTGCAGTGATCTATGTACTGAGAACGGATGCAAGAAACCACCTAAATTCCTGCCTTTCTAGTGTCACCTGCCCATGGTTTTCTGTCCCTTTTGAGCAGTGGGCAAACCCTTTCCTTGGTCTTCCTCTCACTGCCTGTGTGCTCATTGAATGATTTCTTGTTATCTGTTATGTCCCAGGGTATTTAGATCTCATTTTATGTCTTGATCTTTCTGAGTTGCCATTTTGGCTGTGGCCATTTATAAAGGTACTTAATGTTTTAGTTTTCATTTGTATGTTTCCTTATTCTTTTTGTGGTCAATAAGGAAATCATGACTTCGCTACGCTGATCTCCTGTCTGCTGATTTCATTGGAATCATTTATGCCTGTGTTTTTAACACGTCATTTAAGACCTGATTGTTCAGAGCTGCTTTTCCCCCTAGATTCGCCTTCAATGAGGTCTTCTGCGAAGCTGAAGTTCCATGCAGTTAGCAGTTACACCCCTTAGTTCTGTTAGATTCTTATATTCTCTGTATCTGCTATAACAATTAAAAAAAACCCTGTGTGCTAAGCCTGTCAACAATTTAAATTGGTTTTAAGTTACATCCATTACAGTTTTTGCAATAAGGAAAACAATAAATAATCAAAAAGACACTTTTTCTGATCAGCTTGTTCTGTGTTTTCAGCTGTACGGTCGCCACAAGGAATACCTCAGTGGTCTTGTAGGCTCAGAATTTGAAATGGTGAGTAGCAGCAGCACTCAGCAGGGACCTGGAGCCTGTTGACCTGGTGGCATGGCTGCCGTTTGCACCACACTCTCTGAAGACTTTCATTCTGGGGGGGGTGTATGTGTGTTGGCAGCTTTTACCTTGTGGCTTCCAGCAGAAAATTGGGTCAGAAGGGACAGGTTGCAGTGGATGTGGGGCCTGCAGAGCTCCATCCCGCGCCTGTCAGACCAGCAGCAGAGCATGCTGAATGCTGTCTCTGTGAGACTGTGTGCATTGTCTGAAGGCCTTTGCCTATAATGCTGTAAGAAGAAAGGAGGGTTTCTGTCTTTTGGGATAGTGATTGCTGTTAACTTTGTGAATGTCAAACACATCTACGTGCCACTTTGTTCAGGTAAACAGCCCCTCCCACCCCAAAACTACTGCACAGTTCCCCTTCTTACTGAATTACCTGGACTGCAATCTCCTTTGCTCAAATCTTGTTTGCCAAAGTGTTAAAGTTGTTGTACTTTTTCGTGCTTTGATAGAGTGTCTCAGCTCGCCCTATGCTTCCCCCCTGCTCCCCCCACCTTGGGCAAGTGCGGGAACACTGCAGGAGAAACAGGGCTATGGTTTCTGCAAGTGACTTCTCACTACATTTTATATCCATCTTGAAGTCTGTAAGAGACTGATTTACAAATAGTAAACTCCTGCAATTAGGCATTTGGTCTCTAGAGAGCCTCTCTCCAGAGGGACTGTTCACTTCTGGAAAGTGATACGAAAAGTCGTGACACCTACCTGGCCAGCAGAGTGAATCGTTCATGTACAAGCATCTGTGAAACACCTGTATGCGACCCTGCTGGGAGGGGATTGTATGTAGCTCCCTCAGCGGTCATTGAGCTCTTTACCTTGTTTGTCTGCTCGTTCTTACAGACTCTCCCTGGTACACTGCGGCTTTTTGTGAACGGAGAAATAGGTGAGTCCTTACTATAAAGAGCAACTAAGGGGCAAAGCTGGGTCTGCTGCAATGGCCGAGGCTATGAAGGGACTAAGGATTCTTGGATCACAGTCTGGTCCAGAGTAGGTGATCCTCTCCCTAGAATCCTTACTTCCTCCTTCTCCTCCCTTGGGTGGCGTTTACAGATTGGAGGTGACAAATACTGCGGCTGTTCTAGGAGGACGTACAGATCTGAATAAAGGAGAGCAGATGGGGACGTTAATAGAGATTATAGCAAAGAAAACAATTAAATATGTGACCTCCTGGATCTAGTTAGTGATATGTGGACAGAACTAGTTAAGGAATCTTCTCTGAGGGTCATATTCTGTTCCTTTGAAGACCCTGGCTTTTCCCAGCTTCCAGCAGTAACTGGTTGTCCCTGAGGTTATTGGTGCTGGCCTTCCCAAAAGCCTACCGGAGGAGTTTGCATGGAAGTGAGCAGCTGAAGTTCATTCTCTCTTCTTCTCAGTTTCAGCTCAAGGCTATGAGTATGACAACCTCTATGTTAATTTCTTCCTGGAGCTGCCTAACCGTGAGTATTCACGTTCCCAGCCATATCACAACAGTTTAAGGAATGAAGCGTGCTTTGGCTGGTCCATCAGAGCAGCTCTGCTGAAAGTCAGTAAAAGTTAAGGTTGGGGCTGGGGTCTACTCAGGGGTCTTCAGAGCTAAAATAGTAGAACTCAGTTGTCTGAACTAAACTCCTGTCTAGGGGAAAGTAGTATCTTCCCCTCATCTCCTCCAAATCAGTTTGGGACACAAGAGGTCCAGTGACTTCTCAACGAGTGGTGATGGTGTCCAGCAGTCACCCAAAGCTCATTCCTCTTACTGCAGAGGGCAGCCTTCCATCTTCTCTATCTCAGCAATGACCCCGTCTGATTTCAGTGCTCACCATCACGCTCTCATGTTTTGTGCTGACACTAACATCTTACGTTTTGACTGATAAATGAGGTTCCCAGCACTAATATGCACATCCTGCTGTGTGTTTAATGCCCTGCAGCTATGGCTCTGGCTCCCCTCTCAGGTTATGCCCTGATGTTTGTCTGAGGAGGTGCCACTTTTGCTACTCAATACATTCAGATAAGGTCCTGCTTTTCTCTTGAGATGGAGCTGGTGCTTTTCCTCAACAGTTCAGGGTGTTCTGGGGAGCAGCCGTTGCCTAGAACAAGATGGGGTGGGACACACCTAGGGAAATGCAATGTGGTGACGTTATCCTGGGACTGACGTTTGCCTTTGAGCTGCTCTGGTTTGTGAGTCCTCCCTCTCGCTCAAAGCATTCATCACTGTGCTCACGTTCTCTTCTCCCAGAGTGGTCGAGCCCCGCGTTCCAGCAGCTATCAGGAGTGACACAGACCTGTGCCACCAAGACAGTGGGCTGGGTAAGGACGCTTTCAGACCTGCAGAACAGTTTGAGCAGGTGTTCTCTGAAGTGGAACATGTGTAACAAGCTTCAGATGTACTCAGCAAGGGGCCTGACTTGCAAGCTCCTCTCAAGGGCAGAGCACGTTTGGGATTCTCCTCGTTCTAGTTATACTTGCCATTTTTCAGGGTGCCAGTGTGTCCAAACAAAACTAAACCAAATAAAACTGCTTCATAGCAGTTTCTGGAATCTCACTTTTTTCTTCCTTCTGGGTTATTGATTGCCTTTGGAGCTTTGATTTTGGTGTTCTCAAATGCTCAGTGTTAACGAAGCGTTGTTCTGGCTTGCCTGGGGCTGCACACAGTCTCTAAACTGGTTTCTTGAAATGAACCCCTCCTCCTATCTGGGAAGTTGGTTCCATTGCTCTCTCTAGCTCCTCTCATAAATTTCGAATGTTACCAACTTTTTAATGTCTTTTATGTGAGCTAGTTTGCATATTACAAAAATAATTATCATACAACGTTTCAGTAATACCATTGTTTGAGGTGTTTTGCTTGGCTCCTGTCAAGATTGTGGTGGTGTAGTAGTCATGCAAGTGGCTGAATTGTCATTTGAGGTGTGTTACTCT